GTGGCCCCGCACGAGATCGACGATGAGTCAACTGACACGCCACTGATGGATCCTTTTAGGGAACTAGGAGGCTCAAGTGCTATCAAGGATATGACCAATTTCTCGCTACAAAAATTCAACACACTTTGGCTCTCTCTCCGTGAACATGTCCTCGCTTACTACAACGTTGGACGAGGAAAGCGATCCGACGTCAAGCCGAAGGATGCATTCTTCATGACGCTCGTGATGCTTAAGGAGGGTGGAACTTGGGACAGCAACACAAAGCGGTTTAAACTGGCAACAACAACTTTCACTGATGTCGTCACTAAGTTCATCAGGATGTTGTCTCCGAGGGTCTATGTAGACCTAGTAGAGGAGCGCTGTGACGAAGCTACTATGCGCAACGCACGTACCCGGGGCACGACCTTTTCACACTCCCCCAGTGCGTTGTACGCAGTGGACGTTACGTTCCAACAGAGCTGGCGACCTGGTGGCAGTATTGCCGAAAATGGCAAGTTCTACAGCGGCCAGCATGGACTGTACGGCCTGAAAGTTGAGGTATCGGTTGATAAACGTGGGTTTGCCATCAACTGCTCACAGCACGCGCCTGGGGCTACGCACGACATCACAATTTTCAAGGGCAACAAGGAATTCCACAATGTTAAAATGAAAAAGCTTCCAGGCGACGAGATGCTACCAGACGACTGCCCTCTTGCTGAGGTTTTTCCTGCTGAGTGGGCTATTCTAGCCGACAAAGTATACCAAGGAATTAGCTCCTTTCTGCGGCATCCTTCCCAAAAAGGGCCGAAACATCAGTCTCGCGGATCTGTCCCACAACGATAAAGTTGCTCATGACCGTGTGATCGTCGAAAACTTCTTCGGGCGGCTCAACCAACTCTGGAGAATCATGTCCGACAAGTTCCGCCTTGGACGAGACCTGTACGATGACATATTTCGTCTTTGCCTCGGGCTTACAAACGTCCACGTCTCCCATTGCCCTCTTCGACAGGATAATGGAGATTGGTACCGTCGATCTCAAAACAAGCTGATTCAGCTTGGTCAACTGCTTAAACAAAAACGTCGACTAGCTCAAGAGAAATACAGAGCGAAGAAAAGACGTCGTTTGTCCAGTACGCTTGCAGATTTGGGCGGGGAAGCAGGCGCAAGCGAAGACGCCATGACTCAGTTAC